TTCCAGAGGAAGATGAATGGAATCTCTGGAAGATACATTTGATCAGTGGCGTCACGTAAACTCACTTTTTACCTGTTCAACAACTTTGAAAACGTTATTTAGGGTCATGTTTACATTCAAATCAATTTCAAAAGGCTCATGGTCTTCTAGTTTCACAGAATTGTAGTCATTGGAACCAATATTGTTTTATTTGTTTATGTTTTGAAAGTTGATGAACAGGTAGATTGAGGTTAGGGTGACGCCACTGCATTTGGTGGAAGTTTCATTGAATTTCCTGGAGAGACGGAACAAACTTCCTAAGGTAGATTGGAAGAAAATTCTGGAGAAAGTCGGAACTCTGAGGGCTTACGGATCAGTCGAAAGAAACTTCAAGAAGTTGGGGAAATATTCCAGAAGAAAGAGATTTCTTGGGGATGTTAGCACAACATTCCCTGAAGTTTCTTTCATGTTCTAACGATTCTGAGTAATTTTCCTAATTGTTATAAAACATCCCTGAAGACCCAGCAAGTTTCCTAAGCATTCCTGAAATGCACTTCGATATATCACATAATTCCTCGGAACTTCTTGAAAGTTCTTGCAATTCTTTCTTCAATAAGTAAACTTTTTGAAAAGATAATTTTGAATAGAATAATGCTTCACATCAATACGAACTAAATGTTTTTTTTATTTGCTTTATTAGAGAGATTTAACCGAACTAAATGTTTGCAGATGAGCAGTTTGGATTTCGCCATGGGCATCAACTCTTAAGAGTTACCAATTTAATTCGTTCAAACAAATCTGAAGGCTGCTCAACTGGAGTTGTTCTTTAAGACATAGAAAAAGCATTCGACAGTGTTTGGCATGAAAATTGGATTGCTACATTGAAAAAGTTTAATTTTCCACTCTATATTATGAAATTATTAGTTCAAAATTATTTAACTTCATTATACATCAACGAATACGCGTTTGTTGATATTCACCAGTGCTCGATTATCAAACCCAAAATTGTCAAAATCAGAAGTGATCCTCAAAAGCAAAATAATCAACGACATTTTGGGCAAAATGATTTTTTTGAATATTGTCGACCACACTGCCTAAATCATCGATATTATCACCAGTTCAGCTTGAGGCAATAATTTACCGTCGACTTGTGTCTAAAAACAACGTTCTTCAGCGCTATATTTGTTTACAATGAAAATATTAATTTTGCATTTGATCCTCAATATCATCCCGACCAAGATGAAGACGAATATCAATATTAACAACAACAGAGGCGATAATGAGAATCCAGCCACGAATGAAGAAAAACAAATGTTATTTTTGACACTCAGAGGTTGCCTAGATCAAGGGAATTTGATTATATCAAAATTCAAATTCATGCAGGTAGTTGGTCTATCTGTTAATGTTTTCTTCATTTTCAGCTAAATTGAGTGTAGAAGAAAGGATTTTTATCAGCACTGGTCGTGAGAGCAAATTTTCTCTCTCAAATTTGAATTTTTTGGCTCTCTGGGAACTGGTAGTAAAGCATGTAAAAACTGTATGGGGAAAAATCATTTTTATTTAATTGTGGCTTGTTTAACAATAATTTTCGAGAAAAAACTGAACGACAAAGTTTCTTTAGGTTGTCGTTCACTTTGTTTGACCTGAATATGCACCGAAAGCAAAATTATTCCCACTTCTCTCAATTTCTATATGGGGATTTTTATCACTTCCTACCAGCGGAACAGCGCCATCTCTGTGGAAAATGGTCGAACAAAATGATTAATTGCTTTTCTAAATAATTGAGTCTAATGGTTGTAAACATAAAAAAAAATATATTTATTTGTTTCTAAACTTTTGGAATACGACATCATACAGGTACTGCCTATGAATGTGGCTTGATCGAGTGACGATTTTCTTTTCTTTTCTTTAGATGAAGACGATGAAGTTTTGAAGAAGACAACGATATTAACTATCTGCACACTGGATCAACATTTAACCATTTTAGAGGGATAGAGCATCATTATATTTTCATAAGAACAGAACCACCATAACAGATTATCAGGAAAGCCATTTGGGATATGGGATCTCGAAGAAGAAGAAAATTGGAAGACCATGATCGACTCACGTTCTGGAACAATCATCACGAAGAGCGGCCACAAGAGAGTAGTAGTAGTGGCCACATTGCCCTCGAGTGGCTGGGTTGATATACGATAAATAACAAGATAAGAATATCAAGGCTCAACTACTACGGACACATCCTTAGGAGCGATCCCGGCGGAATTTTGAAAAGGGCACTCAAGTACAGAATACAAGAACCTTGGAAAATTGCGAGACCGGCATATACCTGGAAAACGTGGAGAGGAGCAACATTCCCATTGAAGTATGGCAGGATATAGCACAAGGAAGGAGCAAGTTCAAACAAACCACTCAAAATCTGAGTAGTAGAATGGTGGAGTCGGAATTTGTGACTAGCAGCGACTAGCAACTCTGACTGGGATAGTGAAACAGAAGAACTAGTTCCTTCCAGACTTCTCCGGATTCAGGTATGAAGACTCCATCATGAGAGGAACCGATTCTGGCGAAGAAGTCGGTCCGAGGCAACGGCAATAACAACCCACAAAGCACCCTCAGTTAACCGATGATTTAACAACACAACTAAGCCCAGCATTTCATAGGTAAGTTCACACAATCGTTATATGAACGTGTGTTAGCAGTGCCTTTTTAACCACTAGTCTCTTCTGGCGTTCGAGTGGCGGAGCTATTGGACAGAGCAGGCGCAGATAACTGAGCCCCCAAACGGCTGCAACCTGTGGTCTGTAAAAAAAACACTGCAGGTAAATTATCAAAATTCCAAACCTGAGCGACTACCTGTTAGAGCAGGAGTTCCTCAGGGTAGCATTCTTGGGCCTATATTGTATAACATTTTTACTTCGGACCTCTCTGATTTGCCTCAGGGTTGTCACAAATCTTTGTTCGCGGATGGCACAGGTATTTCTGCTAAAGGAAGAAGTCTTCGTGTTATTTGCGGCAGATTGCAGAAAAGTTTAGATATTTTCTCTTCTTATTTACAAAAATGGAGGATTTCTCCCAACGCTTCCAGAACTCAACTTATAATATTTCCACATAAGACTAGAGTTTCCTTTTGGAAACCTAGTAGTAGACACATAAAGGGTGATACGGTCAAAATTTGGTCAATATCAACTTGACGTATTTCTTTCAATTTTGCATTTAAAAAACCTGAACACCCCTCATTTTGAAGGTGTGTGTGTGTAGAATGTTGCTCCTATTTTGATTTTGGAATTCACTCTTCAGTTGTCAAAATGCCGTCCAAGCAAGAAGAGCAGCGTATCAAAATTTTGCTCGCGCATCGCGAAAATCCGAGCTACTCGCACGCAAAGTTGGCAAAATCGCTAAAAGTTGCCAAATCAACCGTTACAAATGTAATTAAAGTGTTTGGGGAACGTTTGTCGACAGCCAGGAAGTCTGGATCGGGGGGAAATCGAAAACCGGAAGCCGCTGAGACGACAAAGAGAGTTGCCGGTAGTTTCAAGCGAAACCCTAACCTCTCTCTCCGAGATGCCGCAAATAAGCTGGGTGTATCGTCTACAACCGTGCATCGAGCCAAAAAACGAGCCGGACTATCGACTTACAAGAAGGTAGTGACTCCAAATCGCGATGATAAACAAAATACGACGGCCAAAGCGCGATCCCGGAGGCTGTACACGACGATGCTGACGAAGTTTGACTGCGTGGTAATGGACGACGAAACCTACGTCAAAGCCGACTACAAGCAGCTTCCGGGACAGGAGTTTTATACGGCAAAAGGAAGGGGAAAGGTAGCAGATGTTTTCAAGCACATGAAACTGTCAAAGTTCGCAAAGAAATATCTGGTTTGGCAAGCCATCTGTACCTGTGGCTTGAAAAGCAGCATTTTCATAGCTTCCGGGACTGTCAACCAAGAAATTTACGTGAAAGAGTGTTTGAATAAACGTCTGCTGCCTTTCCTGAAGAAACACGGTTGTTCCGTACTGTTTTGGCCGGATTTGGCATCTTCCCATTACGGTAAAAAGGCCATGGAGTGGTACGCCGCCAACAACGTGCAGGTGGTTCCCAAGGACAAGAACCCTCCCAACACGCCAGAGCTCCGCCCAATTGAGAAATACTGGGCTATTGTCAAGCGGAACCTAAAGAAGACCAAAAAAACTGCTAAGGGCGAGCAGCAGTTCAAGGCAAACTGGCTTTCTGCGGCGAAGAAGGTGGACAAGGTGGCTGTACAAAATCTGATAGCAGGGGTCAAGCGTAAGGCCCGGCAATTCGGATTTGGAAAAGCGGAAGCCTAACTGAATATTTTTCCTGAATTTTATACTAATTGAACTTACGTAATTGAACTTGAAAAAGAAATTTAATTTGATTTTTTAAATAAACGATTTCACCGATTTACACGCGTTTTCCATTGACCAAATTTTGACCGTATCACCCTTTAGTCACTGTGAACGGAGCTCCAATTTCCTGGTCCAACCAAGTGAAATATCTTGAGTTAGTACTTGACCAAAAATTAACTTTTGAAGATCACATTGAGGGCATTCAAGCCAAATGTAACAAATATATAAAATGTTTGTATCCTCTTATAAACAGGAAATCCAAACTTTGCCTGAACAATAAGCTTCTAATATTTAGTTGCGTTTTAGCTGTAATGAACAATTGCAAGCATGCATAAAATGCACTCTATTGTTGTTTTCAATTAGGGCCTGTTTTCTTAGCAAATTGCTAACGCCACAACCAATTAAAATAACAACCGACACACGATCATATTTTTATTTTTATTAATTCTATGTCATGGCCTGCTGCATAATTCTTAACGTAAACGTCACCTAGGTAATCAAACGAGTTAGAAGCTGTATATATTTTTTGGATTCGCATTATTTTACTATATAAAACTAAATATATTAAACCAAGTGCACGGATTTCGGTGCTGTATGGATTCCGGTTCCGCACGGTATTGAGGACAGGATGTGATATCTAAGTAAATGCCCCCCATCTCGACAGTACAGTGGTTTATTATTATATTGCTAATCTCTATTTATCACATGGCTTACACGGTCGCAACGATGCTTTTACCCTACAAACTGTCTATAATGACTACCTACGAATCGTGGTTTAATAGAATTAAAAATCGGGCTACGCATTTATTGAAAACCTAACCAAAACTTAATAATTATTCCACTTGCAGATTTGTTCACAACAACTTCGATGGTACTGTTCAGGTACCGATTGTACACTGGTCTCCCCGAGGGTCTATTAAAGTCAACTGTATTGCTTTTTTTTTAAGTTTCACTGTCTGTGGTGGTAACTGCATAAGTATGTACCCTAAACGTGCATGGTTTTTAGTGCCGTAGGAAATCGCTTATTTTGGCATAACGTAATTATAATTTTCCTTTTTTTAAACGTTTCAACAAGAAAATATTCTAGAACAAATATAATCACGCACGGTCGGTCGGTTGGTTCGTCGGTGGAGGTTGTCTTCAGCTCACCTTGTTGATCATCTTGACCAGCTCGGTGTAGAGAATGCAGTTACGGCTGCGAGGTTTGCAGATTTCCCGATGGTCAAGGTGTACGCCGCACACATCACCGATGCCGGGATCTGTCGTAATCCGCCAATGAAAAAGCGCATGGAAGATTCGAGAAAAAAAAAATCAATTGAAGCGTAACCGTTAGTGCTTCGTTCGAGCATGTTGCAACTTACCGGCCGAGTCGATTCCAACAATACGAAGGTATAAAACCGACATGAGTGTCATTGCCGTTTCGACGAAGCTGAACACATCGATCTTGAGGTGACCACCCTGGTAAAGCGCTACAAAGCGACGGTGCAATTCCAGGATGCTGGCACAGTCTAAAAGTTGGATCATATCGTTAATGCCGTACAACGGTCGAAAAGGGAACTTTAAAACTTACTTTTCTGTATCTCGGTTAGCTCGACCGATTGCCTTATCAGGGGTAGATTGAAATCCGCCAGCGGAGATCCCCTGTGCGGCACCGAATAGAAGAACGTCCCACGCGACGATCGCCAAAGTGGTTCAGCCGCCGGTCGACCAGTTTCCCAAGCGTCTACGATGATCTGCTTGATGAAAATGCCACCCTTCGAATGGCCAACCCACACGATCGGGTGCCCTCTGCCCACCCTCTTGGCTATGAGCATATCGGCCATCTCGCGTGCTCGGTCCACTAGGCAAGATCTGTGGCAAATAAAAATTGGAATTGATTTACATAATCATAACCGCTTCCATGTCAGCAAAATATCTTACCGGTTTCTCTTGGTGATCCAGACCGGCCGCCACAGGTATGGATCCGTCGTATAGTTAATCGCTATTACCCGTACTCCTGGACAATCCAGTGGCAACCAATCACCTGGCCAGCAGGGTGACCATGATTCGTCCTTTTTCACCTTCATTTTCCGCTTGCCATGGTGTCTATTTTCCGTGTACCCTTGAGCAATCTTATTACCTTCTTCATCTTCCATGCGTAACCTAAATGTTGGAAAACTATACTCCATGTCGTCCGCAAAGTGGACCTGCTCCGGTTCACCACACTCGTAGGTAAACTTCCGCTTTGCAAATCTATACGATGTCGAACGCGATTCATCGTACTGGTCCTCCTCATCGCTCCATTCGGTTGAATCGTCTTCAAACTTTGGTTTCTTATTTTCGTGAGGTGGAGCGAAAAGATTCGCTCGGGAATGGCGCTGTCGCTTTGGTGGCCGTATTGGAAGCTTCGGAGGCCTCTCGAAGTGCTCCAATTTGCCTTCGCTGTTCCACAATCCTTGCTTCCACGTGTTGACCAGCGATCCATGCAGACCATGAATCAGAACGATATCCGCGCGGATTGGTACTCCTGCAGGAGGTTCTGCCAGCACAACCAACTCGACGCATTTCTCCGGAATTTCCCGCAAACTTGCCTTTGTGTGATGCCTAAGCTTTCCTCCGGCAGCCAACGGCTGTTTGCCCGGTTCAATAGCATTCCTGGATGGATCCTTGCGTAGCTTGATCACCCGTAACAGAGGATCAATCCGGTGAGCAACTAGAAGAAGAATTAGGAACCACGTGAGATACGATAGCTGAGGGTAGGATCCATCTCCGGTGTCACGGATTGGTCCTAACGACGACGGTATGTTTCGAAGCGATGGCACCGGATCACAATGCGTCCGAATCATTCCGGTTCCTAACGTTGTCCTAGTTCAACTGTCGTCGAGTCGAGCTGTTCTACAGTCATGTCTAGGTTCCTACATAGCTAGATATTGGTTTATTATGACTCGGTCTTAGCGTAACCGTGGACTAATTAGATTTCAGCTGGTTCAGCTGACGTTACAGCAGTGTGTTAGCGAGTGTCTATTTTAGTCCTGATGATATCGATTTTGCCTACAAATAGCCTTCATGTCGATGAAGTTCAATGCATGCAGTCTCTTTAGGCGGTATCGATCAGATGTTGTTGTCGAGGTTGTGGTATTATTGGTTTGAACCGCCTTCTTTTTCTTATTCTAGAAGAATTACGTCCCATCTGGAATGGTATGGCCGCCCTTAGCTGCGTGCACCTCCATAGTTTTTGACACTCCGAACACGATGCCTCCGGTACCCGCAAATTAGCAATGTTTGAAAAATCATTGCTCAACAAGTTGTCAAGAGATTTTATATTTATTGATGCAGAATAAAGCTTTGAAGTATTTAGTTTCAAATGGCGCCAAAGGTTTTAAAATTTCAAACATTGCCAATTTTCCGTTACACATTTTACCGGAGGCATCGTGTTTGGGGTGTTAAGTGAGATAAGGAAGCTGCTGTACCATTCTTACATTCGTATTTTGTATTTTGATCAAATGATTGTATTTACAATATGCTTTTAAGATTTTGAGCAAGCTCTTTTTGCTTCTTTTAAAGGGTGTCCACGATGAAATTGCCACATACAAAATTGATTCGCAAAATTCGAGTTTTCATCCGATTGCCATCAAATTTTCAGGGATTGAGAAATAACTATTAAACTTCATTTTACCATTTTACTCGTATTTTATTTACAGTCCATACGCAAATGTCCGCACCTTGGCCTTAACCCCGGCCATAAGATTCTGCACAACCTGTAAATCAACCGTTTTTTGCATGTAAACCCATACTTTCTTCAGTTCCTCGACTGTCTTCACTACCTTAGGTCGTTTAAGAAGGTGCTGTTTCATAATCGCCCAGTACTTCTCGATGGGGCGGAGCTCCGGAGTGTTGGGAGGGTTGAACATTTTCGGCACGAAATTGACCTTATTGTCCGCATACCACTTCAGCACGTCCTTGGAGTAGTGGCATGAGGCCAAATCCGGCCAGAAGATTGTTGGGACGTTGTGGGCCTTCAGGAGAGGAAGCAGCCGCTTCTGGAGGCACTCTTTTATGTACACCTGTCCGTTCATCGTATCCTGGGTCACGAAAGGTGCACTCCGCTTCCCGCACGTGCAGATGGCTTGCCAAACCAGGAATTTCTTCGCAAATTTGGACATCTTCGGAGTGCGGACATGCTCCGGAACGCTGAACTTATCCTTGGCCGTGAAAAACAGGTTGCCGGGGATCTGTTTGAAGTCGGCCTTCACATATGTTTCGTCGTCCATGATGCAGCATTCAACTTTCGTCAGCATGTTGAGGTACAACTTCCTGGCACGGGTTTTGGCGGACTTGTTCTGCTTCTCGTCGCGATTAGGGGCCTTTTGTACCTTGAACGTTCGAAGCCCAGCCTTAGTTTTGGCCTTCTGGACAAAACTTCGGCTTAGGTGCAGCTTCTTAGCCACATCCCTAACGGAGGCGTTCGGATTTCGGTTGAAGGCCCCAACTACGCGGTTGTGATTTTTGGTGTTGTACGGAATACTTTTTCCTTCACTTCTGGGCTTCCGATCGGTGGTCAACCGTTCCTCGAACCGCTTAATCACTCGCGACGCCGTGGAATTCACGATTCCCAACGTTTTAGCGATGGAACGATGCGAGAGATCCTTGTTCTCGTGATGAATGCGCAAGATTTTATCACGCACGAGCTGTTCTTTCGACTCCATTTCCGCGAGTTTTGATCACAGGACTTTAAAACTTGCAGGATGTAAATAATGCACTATGAACTAAATCCACCCAAATTTTCATTAAATTCTACCCAACGGTTAAAAAGTTAGAGCAATTTCATAGTGTGGCAATTTCATCGTGGACACCCTTTAAGTCTGTAACATTTCCAGGTTGTCGACTGCCTGCCTCAGGGAATTTCATTTATGACCTGGGAATTCAGCGAATTTCAAGGGATTTTCTTGTAAATTCAGGTAACTATTTCTCAATCCTTATTCATAACTGCATTACAAACTATAATGATATCACCATTCATGTACATAGTGAAACAATGTTTTTTTAGAAGGCTTACACTTGAGCAATTTAAATCCAGGGAAAGCTCTTGGATTTGATTAAATTAGAAGGATCAGATCTCTCCATGTTTGGATAAATTCAGTTTTTTTTTTAATAAAACAACCTACAACTTTGCTAAAGTCATCACATCTTTCTTCCTCGTGACTTTGACGCTTTTTAGACAAGCATTCGCCTGCTTTCAACTTAGTGATCTCTGATCTTATTAATTGAGAACTTTCTAATTGTGAACCTGTGAACTGGAATCACAGGTTATACCATAGACTAACACTAAAACCAGGGGGTCCCGAAAAGCGTGCTCAATTTTATGGCTTAGGAAGTACCAGATCTTCGGTCTCAAGCTAATTGAAGCACACATCAAACCATAGGAAAATCTACGATCCCCTTATCAAACTCTGTCAAATTTATAAGGCAAATCAAAACAAACACAAACTTTAACAGATTCTGGTGCAAGAATGGGGTACGCTTATTACATGGCAGCAATGGGATAGTCAAGTACTGAGCCAATTTTAAAATCGTTAGTTTCGTATTGATTGTTGGTAATACCGTGCCAACTGACTAGGCTATCTGAGGCATCACGTCCCTATCAAGCCAAACTAAAAAACTACAAGGGACAGCCCTATGGGGTTGTACGTAATGGTGACGTAGGACTACGTGGTCTAATATAAAAAATGGCGTATTAAGAGTTAAAATCCATCATCTCTGGATCAAAATCAGACCACTTTCAAGCCGTGACCGTCTTTGGTTTTTGAAATTGCACCTCTAATGTTGCCTTAAAGTACATGGCATGTTAGATTTAAACATATCTAGGTAGAGCTGGAATTATGCGTAACAGCTTTTGTAAACAACTTCTCTCGATGATTTTAAGAATTAAAGGTACGCCCATGCAAAACATCATTACCGTCGAATGGGGGAAGTCCCTACATGATGTCGATGTTCATTTGCATGGGCGAGCCTTGTATTTAAAGACATCATCGAAAGAAGTCATTGTTTAAAAAAGCTGTAACGCCCCAATTCCAGCTCTATCTTGATATGGGAACTGACATTCGATTAATTTCCCTGGCAAATGTCAGAAAAATACTCTTTTACAAATTTATGGTGGTCCTGAAAAGAATTGTTTTGCCGTGATGGTTGAGTAATGCTGAGCTATTAGGGTGTTAAACACAGATGAGGCTGGTGAGCGGTATGTTGCTTGGAATGAGGGTAACGCGCTTGGCTTAGATAGCCCACAGCGACTCACGAAGAGCTACTGATTCCGATCAATAGCGGTGTGGCTTCTTCCTCCTGGAACGGTGATTGGAACTGCATCCGATCAGTGGTTGAGGGCAGCCTTGATAGCTAGCTGGTTGCGGGGATCCTTTCGTAGTGTACTTGAGAAGACCACTACTAAATAACCACGCGGTGATTGAATAAACACCGTTTGGTGAGACCGGATGGAATTCAACTTTGAAATCCGTGTTAGGGAAAGTGGTTTTCGCAGGCAATCGATGATAATTTTAATTATCAAAGCAACAGTTGCACATTCGTGCAATTTTCAGTAGTGACATTTTGAGAAATGATAAAGGCTTAAATTTAATAGATGCGTACAAATATTTCTGATCGATTTGTGATAAAATAAATGAAATTGGTCCAGGGGCAGCTGAGTTATAAACGTTCAAAATCTTTGATAATTTTGTTACATGTTCCATTTTTGGATTTCACAAAGTGTACCCTCATATAGAAATGAAAGACGTAGTCCTACGTCAAAATCAGATTTAGCTGCGCCGCCAGCGCCAATTATCTCCAATCAATGAGTCTTGTCATTTAAAAAATCTTTCAAACACTCACTGTGCTTCCAAGGGAATAAGTAGAGTATCATTGCACTTGCTACTTGCTGTCCAATTTATGAATGCAAAAAATTCTGTGAATTATAGTTAATTTTATAGATTTGGCGTAAATTTACATGATAATTAATGTAAGTAGTAAGCACTGCATCCTATAAGTCAGCCAACTCAAGATTATATAAGTCAAGTCAGTTCAAGATTATATAAGATTAAAATTCATAATCTTTTCCGGTGGTTATCCAATTTATCGCAACTCCGAGCAAATGATAAATACACAGTTTCTCAAATATACTTCAAAAGAAATTAGTTGACTTAATTTTGGAAACCTTCATGATAATGCTAACTGTTCGGTTGTGTTTCTGTGTACTGGTGATCGAATTTTATTAGTTATATTCCCTGTGCGCGATAATTTAATCTGTTTGAATTAGTTTTCACATACATTGTTTAATATTGAAATTCCGCTGCAATGATGCTATTCCATTCTCTTTTGTTACCCGGCAAGACTTCGATCGCGCGTCATGTATTGTTCGTTTGGTGTGATGAGGAAAGCTTTTGTTCACGCGAGTTTGGTGTTCACGTAAAATAATAGATACCGCAATTGCATTTGATCATGCAGTTTTTTTTTTAAGCTGACTGGAGTGAATTACCGAGATTGGCGATGAAAATGCCATCCAAGCAAAATGAAAATGATATGGAAATAATTCTAATGGCTAATTCTAACAGCCTCATATAATTAGGTATTGAGTATATGAGGCTGTTTGAATAAGCCATTAGAATTAGAGTTATTCATGTTGGTTTTTCAGTGGTTGGTAATCATGCGAAGTCAGGATCCATACACGTGGGAATTGTTTCGGGTCCCGTATGTCGTATGCAGAATAACTGCATTTGTATAGGTTTAACGGGTTCACGGTGCTGCGCGTTAGGGAACACGTCCATCAACCGTGTGGTTATGCGCTTCATGCGATCGTGTTCGAACCGGTTCATCAGAGTTGTCGAAGTTTTGAGCCAGTCAATTTTGTGAAGCTTGGAAAAAAGTTGAGATTGATGGCATTTATTTCAGCCATTTCTGGTGTAAAAGTGGTGCCATTTGTATGAGTATAGTGTATAAATCCTCACCATTAGACATCGATCATGGAATAATTTTAAGAGTTAGTTCAAGTTGAAAAATATTTTTATAAATTTAATATCATATTATTGATTTCCTTTTGTTATCGCGTGTGATGCATTGCTCGGCGATTCAATTGGACATCATAAACGAATTAATCAGAGTGACAAGTCTTACTAGTTGACCCGATTCAGTTTGTACGCTTGTACGGTGCAAAAATGATGCATCATATAAATTTCTTAAGTTCGTATTATTAACGTTAAATTTATTTTTATTTTTCGATTTACAATTTATATTGTAAAACCCTTATAAACAAGAATAATAATAATAATAACTTTACTTTTACAACAGGATATAAGTGGTATTTTTATATGAGGGGTTCGGGTGCCTTAGGCAGCAACTTTTGTTTACTGATCAGAAAATTATGTGTTCAATACCAGGCCCCATTCATACTAAAGAGTTTTCGAGTCACATTGTTTGCTCGTCGAATCTTTTAAAACACTAATGGCCATCGATGTTATATGAGGGCCTTAGTGGCCATAGAGCTTCTGGTTTTGTTTACTTTGAAGTGCAGAGGATTAATCGGTTTCTAACAAAGCGAGTGTCATGTCACTACATTCCAACCCATTCCTTTAAAAAAAAACTAGTTCATTTATTTACTAGGCTCAGTCGTGTGTGACACTTTGCGGAGCTAAAAATCAGTAATGTTTGAGTTTACATTTAAACAGCAGTAGTTCTAGGTTAGTATTGGGCACCAATTTCTCGTGACGGGCTCGAGGTTAATGGGTAGCAATTCAGATTGGAAGGAGCTAGGCAGGAAACTGGTTTCTGAAGCTTCCTTCAGATACTACTCTCGAACGGTTGACCAAATCTTGGCTGGGCAGGGGCAAGTAGCACAGAAACAGGAGGATAATAGGACTGGAACACAATGGCTGGAAATTGTTTGAAAAGGAGGGGATGGCCACATCAAAGACTAACATCAAACAAACAAAGGAATTCGTAGATCGCCTGCATGTAGGGAAGATCACGGGTTCCCAATACATCTCTTACTTCACGGAAGGGTTGTCTTCTTCGGGCCACTAGGGTATCCAACAGTCGTGCCCTGGAGGCGTCATTACCCGGGCAATACCTAACTGCGTGATCGATGTCATCATAACCGGTTCTACACCTACATATATTGCTGTCAATGAGGTTTATTCTGTAGAGATGTGCGTCTAGCAAGTAGTGGTTGGACATAAGTCTTGACATCACGCGAACGAAGCCCCGATTTAAATCTAGACCTTGTCCAATCGTTTTGCCAACTCTGACGTACTAATGGGAAAAAATCATCATGTGAAATTCTTCTATTCGACCAGCAAACTCATCTGCTCCCTTACCTTTGAAAGGAAATAAGACGAGTATCTACCTTGTTTCATCGACCGAATTGCCTCAATCGAACTGAGACTATCCGAGAAGATGAAGTAATGGTCTATGGGCATGTCGGAAATCATCCCTAATGTGAATTTGATTTCGGTTAGCTCAGCAACATTAACGGAACAAGGTTCCTGAAGTTTCCGAAAGGTGGTTGAGTATTCATTGAAGACGCCGAAGAACTCCTTGAATAGCCTGTTTCATGGAGAGATCATAGTCAATGGGGGAACCGTAGTTAGTAAAGCATAGCACGTTTTCAATCACAATGTTGTTACTGACACTAAATTCAATCAACATTCTTAATGAGAGCTCCCAGAAACGCAGAGCTTTTACTCCCGCTAGAGCCTCTACGCTCATATTGTGTGTTGAATGCAATACGTAAACAACGATATTGAATGCGTTCCAATTTAATTAGGTGGCTGAAAGAATAGTCGTTTTATACAGTTGAATAAGGTCTTCCGGGTGAGCACCCCACCATGCCCCGGAAATTGATCGTAAAAAGTTGATCCTTTGTTGATACTTTTGTTTCAAATACTTAGTGTGGGTACCCCAAGTGCATTTTGAATAAAACCAGACTCCAAGGTATTTGAAGGTTAAAGATTGGGTAATGTCTCTGCCCAAAAGATTTAGACGCAGTTGGGCTGGAAACCACTTAAGGAGAATAAACACTACTAATTCAGTTTTTTGCGGTGAAAACTTCATCCCTAAATTTCTTGCCCAGAAAGACAGATTACTTAGGGAATTTTACAATGATATTTGCAAGATATCCGCACGTGAACCTCTCAAGAAAACCACGGCATCGTTTGCAAGCTGAGACTTAAACATGAACCTTGGGGTAAGCCCGTGTAGCTAATTCTAGAAGTTGTCAGATTGAAGGTCATTTGTTTTTCTGGCAGCAAATTATACAAGAATTTATTTAAAATACCTGATAATCTGCTGCTGTGCAAATTGTCTGACAGTATGTCTATCGAAACAGAATCAAATGCGCCCTTAATATCCAAAAAGACTGAATCCAATTGCTCCTTGTGCGCAAAGGCCAGTTGAATATCAGATGAAAGCATCGCTAGACAATCGTTTGTTCCTTTACTCTTTCGGAAACCAAACTGCGTATTTGAAAGTAGGTTGTTTAATTCAACCCAATGGTCAAGTCTTGATATGATCATTTTTTTTCTAATATTTTCCTCAGGCATGATAACATAGAGATCGGACGGTAACCCCCCTGGGTTATAAGTAATCGTCTTTTAGCGATATCGAGGAGATTTTTTAGAAGGTCGAATTCGATCATATCGCTTGCCGGAGCAGAGTTCGACAGTGAGCATGCATAAGGGCGAATACGCGATGATCGATTCTCTTCATCGATTTTCTCTTTGCATTGCTACAGCTAAGCGAAACAATTTTCTAGAATTTGTTCAATGCAGAGTAGTAACAGGTTGTATTGGCTATCAAAAGCAACAGCAAACGCACCGATAAACGTTCAATCTAGCGAGTTATTAACGAAAGAGAAAATCGACGAAGAGAATCGATCATCGCGTATAGGCCCTTATGCATGCTCACTGTCGAGTTATTCGATGAAAGAAGTGCCATTGAAAATTCCAGCATTGTTAATGGTTCATCCAGAGAACCGTTACTTCGGGCTGTATCCCGTAAAGTTGCCATAATAAAAATTGTATGGTTATTTTGCTTAACGACGTGTTCGGAGTATCATCCAAACCATTTGTGGAAAAGTTCTACTATTTGGGTTATCATTCGTTTATGGTATTTGTTTATTAGGGTGGTTGTGCTGGTACAGAGTTTGGACAAACATTTTAGTGAAGTCGAATAACCTTTGGGAGGAGTATTCTTCACTCTCATTTGGAAGATGAGCGGTTTCGCATAAAGCAAGCTTTTTTCCAAAGCGAGGTTTCTCTAGAAAGTCCCTCGATAAAAGTACGCCAGTAATTTCGTTTCTTTGCTTTTATTAAATTTTTAAGTTTGTTCAAGCTTTAGATACTATTCAAAAAGCTCAGCTATTTTAAATATGTCTACGATTTGTCATCTCATCCAAGGGTGGTGGGTCTTCTTCTGAAGGACGCACTTGGAACACGTCGTTTCTGAGCTTCTAATGCGCTTTTGTAGATTAGTTCGGTAAAGAAAAACCCATTCCTTAATTGACCTGCCTTTGGACGTGGCCGACGCTAATTGTAAAGCTTTCACACATTCAGGATGATAGGTTATCCCAAGCAAGTGTAATTACATGTGATCTGGCAATAAAGGAGTAGTAACCGAGGGTGGCCAATCATTATCATGCTCAAGATTCTCACATGTCATACATTATGCAATACAATTTTTTAAATTTAATTTTTGATCCCATACATATTTATTGAAGTATTGTAAAAAAAATCCCTCCCAAATTGCTAAATTTAAATGCATTTACGCTGCATAGCTTTATTTATTTATTTATTTTCTCGTGCTAATAGGATGTATGCTGCAATTTGTCGCTGCCATTGCAAAAGTTCAACAACAAGTTTCAAGTTCACGGTCATGAAGAAATCGACCAAAGCGTGCCCATGACGTCATTCGATTGTAACACCTCGTCAAAACCAAGAACGTGACGTGATCGCGTGCTGATGCCGGTGCAACAGTCAAAGGTTATATAGTACCAATTTAGCACTCCATTTCAGAAGGAGAATTTTTAATCAACCTATCATTCTGATTGTTTCTCGTGGCCGTTCCCGCTGGGTTGCCTGTCGAGCTTAAAATTCCTTGAGTGGCAAACAAGAGGAAATTGCTTTTGGTATTTATTTTGCGCCGGCTGGGTGTAAATAAACGAGCACTAATGGGTTGATATTGGTCGTCGCAATTGAAGAAGCCATACTTCTACTCGGTAACAAAAACAAAAGGAAAATTGCTCCACTCAATTGCATGAAGTGCATTGCAGTGCGCAAATGGGTAACTGAGTGCGGTTATAGCATGCAATAAACAACCGACCGAAGAACGATCGCCGCCAGGTGTGAAGAAGTCAGTAGTTTAGATTAAAAAGATTAAAAAAAAAAAAAAAGTAGTTTAGTATCACATTTGCTGTACGTTATTGATTATTGAATTTTGTGACGGAAATAAGTCAGGCGTCGAGATGTTAAGTTACATAATCGAAGTCAGTAGAACATCAGCTATCGAATAACTTTAATCGACGAGTGTCAATGTATTGTTTGATTTGTCTGGCAATATGACTCCGGGGTTTATTGCTCCAATGCGATCGCCTTCGCTACAACATACAGTGTATTTTGGTTGCGGCATATTGCCACATTTCGAAATCACCTTGAACCGAGGACAGGCTCATCGACACGGTGTTGGCGGCAAAAGCGAAAAGCGTCGTCAGTAGGCCACGACTTTCGCGTATCTTTCGCAGCAGTTGCAGTAGGCGGAAACCGCGCAGTCCGTTCCATCCCCGGGCTAGGCCGTGTGTCAGTGGTAACAGCAGCCGGATAAGTACGCTCAGAGCCACGCGGACCCGGGTGTTGGGCGATCTGTGGGTGATAAAGTGAGGAATTAGGGTAGGTTACTAGCAAAAACTTGTGAGTTAAGCATAGGTATAAAAATTAGGGTTGAGTTAATAGTTTCATGAACGAAAAAAATATCAATCGGGGATGGTAAATTTTCCTGGAAATGAAACCCATCATACTGATACGCCGATGCACGTCGCCGCCGCCGCCGCCACCGATTAAAGCCAACGGCGTCACGCCGCTACGCTGCCGTCGCCGAGGCAAAAATGGTTTCCGGCATGGATGCCGCCGATGAAAAGACCGGCGCACAGGTCTAGGAAGCAAAATTGACAAGTTCTATGTGTCAAACACTTGCCTTTCAACCTCTTTTTTATCTAATAAGTACAATATATTCCGAAAATATTTTTTTTTATAGAAAGTGAGTGGAAGCAACCCTGTTACACTGACAAAAAATATCAATAAATATTGAGTTTTCCCGAAAAGGCAATTTTTGAAAATTTTGTTTCAACAAAGACAGTTAAATTATCTAGGGTAGATGTACTAGTTATTCCTATACATTCCTATGATGGTATGTACCAATTGTAGCATATAGGAATTATATTGGAACGTCTCTGGTACATCTGCCCCACAACTCTTCTATACATTAAAAGACTGGCACAGTTAAAAAAAAAAAAAAGTTTCCTAAGAATCACTTTATCATGCCATGTACTGATAAAGAAAAAAAACCTTGTGTACTTAGCTTAACGTGTTTAACTAGACAAAGTCGTCGCACCAACAATGTTTTTAATAATTTGAGAGGGTACTGGATGAAATCCATCTGCATTTCGATGAAATTAGTTTGCTTAAATTTCTTTCAGTGCAGACAAGAAAAAGTTGTCGTTAGAAATGTTTGTTCATATAAAAAGTGCCAATCTTTAAACTAAATTGTCTTTCTAAAACTTGTTTCACATAATTTTCAAAAATTTGATTTTTGGGAAAAATCATTTTTTATTTTTTCGGTGTAAGAATGAAATTTGAATTTTTTGACATTTTTTTAATGAAAGATTAGACAATTTTCTACAGTTCACTAAACGGGATTTGTTTTATTATCGGACAAAATTAGCCCAAAGTTCTCCGAATGCTAAGAAATTTCGCCCTCAGGTAGAGTTTATGATCATATGATTGAAATACAAATTCAATAAATTTGGGTGGCCAATTTTTGCGGAAGGCTTTAGTTTATGTTTTAGGATTTTCCCAGACATCACGTCAAAGTACATTGATTACTCATGAACCAAGCATCGTAGAATAAATGTTATATAGTAAAATGATAAGATAATTATCTCAGAAATCCAAATAAAATATAACCTAAGAAATGCTTCCCCACGAAAATTAAGTTATAAAATGGCTTACCCAGACAACCAGAATGCACGTATATTCAAAGTTGTTTTCGTGATATACAAACATATATACAAAGGAACAAATCGTATAGAATGCAAAGAAATGGCTTATACGTACAAAAGTGGAGGCCATATACGTGCAAATTTTAATTTAATTTTAAACGAGTAGATTTAACATCATATACGATTTAATCTGTAATAACAAATTCACTTTGAAAAGACTTACGATGTAATCCGATTTGATTTGTGATACCGTACGACTGAAAAATGAATCATCGCATATAGGTCGGAAATTTGGATTCTATACGATTTAACTTAAACATAATGCGATGCATGCCATTCTTATATGCGATTTTGACTTAAACTGTAGCAATTTACGATACTGTCTGCACATTGTTATACGACTTCTGGTTGTCTGGGTATTTAGCCTTAAATCAGGTCACATTTTTCCGTTGGTTTTATGGTTTCTACCACAGATAAACAGCAATAACACATTGAATATTTCTCATTGTAAAACATCGTCACTAAAACATTACCGCCATCTGTTGAGTACACTGGGGTGGGTAGTACGCTGAACAGATGGCGGTAGTGTGAAAACGTCAAACGCAAGGGAATTTACTATCCGCGCCACAGGTGACAGTACTACCAACTGAGATACTTTCAAGTTGACCGTTAAATGATTGCTCGATGAACAACTTATGAGTATTATGTCTGTTTGTCTGTGTTTCTACTATAGATTACTTCTAAATTATTTTCCCTTTCCATATGTACCATTGAATTTGACAATGGCTCATATTATTATTTTTTTTTCCTTGATTTGTTTTCCGTCGATCTTGTTTTCCGTGCTGAGCACCAATGCTACCAACGCCATGGAGGCGGCTCCTACACCTGGACTCTACCTATCGAACTCATGAACCGGGGACCAACGGCTTTACTTTTCTGGAGTGATAATCAACCACCACCGGCGCCGCTGTGGCTTATATTATGTTAAAAATATAACACCGCATCTTGGTTCCAAATTCGTCATACGGGGTTCAATTCCATTCAAACGCAATAAAATTCCATTGGATTCTCTTCGTCATACGGAGTGCTTCTTTTGTGTTTTAGAACAATGGTTGTAAATATTTATATTTTGCGATTTTATAAGCTTTGTGTTGCTTTTGAACTCAAGTATCGGATCAAGCGTATTTTTGATTTGTGCACGGTGAAATGAATGAGAACTTTGATGTTTTCTACTCGATACATCTATTTAGATTAGTCATAGTTTGTAAGACATGTCTCATGTATACACTGAGTAGCAATTTCAATCAACATTCAACAGGTTCATTCCATCACTTATTGCTTGTTCCCGTACTTGCTTTTCTGTAAGATTCTATACAGCAAAAAGCATAAGTATTTTTCCGTACTTACTATAGCATATGATTTTCTTACAATAACTAACAGCAAAAGCAAATAGCAAGTACGGAAACACTCCCCTTAACAAAATCGCCCTTCGTGTGACAACCGTGGAGATACAGAAGTATACTTGATTTCTCGTAAAAAAGGAAATCGAACTAACAATCTCCTGTCGGATGATCTTGAAGGTACTCGTTTACCGAAGTCGGTCATCAGTGCTCATGCTCACGTTATTGTTTGTTCGTCAGTTGCCGTCGTCGAATTTGAATGGTTATAACATTAACTTGAGCATAAGTTGTGTGTTGTGATGTTACGGGCTTGGCTGTCTTAGACAACCGTTTTTGCTTACTGAGCAGAAAATCGTGGGATAAACCCAGACCAGAAATGTTATAGTCACATTGCTTGCTCATCGTGTGTTTTGTGAAACTTGTCGTCGTCGGTGACGAGTTTGACTGGTTACTACAACATCTCGATCATAACTGGTTTGATGTGATATCAGGGGTTCAATGGTCTTAGAGCGACCGTTTTTGCTTACTGATCATGTGTTTAATCTAAGACCCTTGAACTTTCTAGATTCGATGGTTCCTTAAATTGAACCCATCAGTTTAATTCAGCGTACCGTTTGCCTGCTGCAAACTCGACACGCCCCGATATTCCAGTGATTTCTCGTGCTGAGGATTTCTCGGTTTCCAACAAAACGAGTATCACGTCAACACATTCCAGCCCATTCCCTAATGTTTTTGGACGAGGCCGGCGCAGCAATTGCCTGTTACAAAGTTTGAGATTATTCGTTTTTACACATTAAGAATGTATGTTAGTCCCAAGCATCATCTGCTGGTTCTCTGTGTAAGTATAGCTGATCTGGCAACGGAGTAGCAACCATGGGTGGTCAATCATGCTTATGCTCAGGATCATGAGTGAGATCGGCAAAATATAAATAAAAAAAAAGCATGAAAGACTGTCTACACAGGCAGGGATAGGGCGGGGGTTAACTGAATTTCCTTTCGGAGATTCAGCCTAAAAACATAACCCCCCCTATTCTGTATTTCGTTTCGAACGAAATTCTCATACAAAAAAATATTTTTTTGTATGAGTATTTCGTTCGAAACGAAATACAGAATAGGGGTGAACATCTCTCATCACGCCTTCCTTCGGAAGGGAAGGAAAGCCGTTGGTCTTTGGTTCATGAGTTGATGGGTCGTTAGGTAGGGTCCAGGTGTTGGAGCTGCCTGCCCTGGCGTCGGTAGCATTGGTGCTCAACACGGAAAACAAGATCGACGGAAAACAAATCAAGCAAAAAAAAAAGGAACAATTTTCAAGATCATAGCCTTGCTCCTAGATTTCATACTGCCGTACTCTAGACACAATTTTAGAAATTTGACACTTACTCGACTTTTTTTTAAATTTTATTATAATGCAGGAAAGTTGAGGTAAATTCTAACAGAATTTTCATGAATTCCTGGAAAACTTTGATAAACATTTCATGACAATTCTGAGGTATACAGTTACTTGTGAAGGAGTTACTTCAGAGAGCGAGCGCGTACTAGCTTCTGCCCTCGAACAGTTGGGTTTTCACTCAATATGAATTCGTGTTTTCCACGTGCTTTTAGACTTGTATTACAGGCGAATATTTCTAGATAGAGCTGGAATTAGGGCCTGACAGCTTTTGTAAACAATGACTTCTCCTGATGATATCTATAAATTCAAGGCTCGCCCACGCAAACCAACATCCTCAACGGGTAGGGAAAGACTTCCCTTATCCGATGGTTAGGTGAATTCATCGTGCCCTAATTCCAGCTCTATCTAGATTTGTTTTCGCTACTGCACGGCCGTTGAATCCGACTGATATTTGAGTTCCGTTGACTCAAATTCGCAAAAACGTAGGGCACTTATAGACTGAATCAATTTTCGTGGAGTACCCTCAAAAATCTGCTCGAATATAAGGAAAATCGTAGCCTATTTTACAACAATATCGGTTTTGCTCCACCAAGCTCAATCGATTTAATTTTGGGTCCTGATGATCCGTAGATCACCACAGCTAAATAAGGGCTAGAACGTTGAGAAAAGTTCACTTTTTTATCGAGGAAATTCTCATTTAAACTTCAAACGGCCAGTGCAGTATGAGTTCGCATCCAAATGAACTTAAAATTTTGAGGGAATTCTCATAACCTGATTTGGAATAGATTGAGCTTGGTGGAACAAAATCGATTTTTGAGCCACCCTAATGATTATACTCATAGACTGAGTAAAATTTTGCTCGGTTTTCCTTATAATCAAGCAGATTCAACGGCCATGTGTGAATGTGTGGAATATGAAGATTCGTAACGTTGGTGCTAATATTGTTTGTTGACATATCTATAGCAAATAAAAAAAAAAAAATTTGGTTCGACCTTCTTCGATTTGATATAAATTTTGCATAATTGTTTGCTGTAAGCAATCATTCACATTTTGGCTAAAATTCGTTCATTTTGAATCTTGCTTTTTTTTAAATGGTATTTAAGTCATTTTTCAATACATTGTAGCTGGAAAACGCCGCTTCTAATCGAAATGACATCTAGGACAAAAATATAGAGAACAATTAATTTATTCTTGGACAAATATTCACGGTACTTTGTTTTAGTAGCTTTGATAATATAATCCAAAAAAGTGTTAAGTTTAAATACATAGTTTAAAAAAAAAAGAAAATCTATGTTCAATATTTTGGTTTTTAATCCAAAGGTTAAGCTTTTTCTAAATAATACATGTTTTGTAATTTGAGTTTTTAACACTTTCTTGTTTTTTTTTGTTCAAAATTACTATAAAAACTTAACCGAGTATAAGTAATTTAAAAATTTCAACAGGTGGTGTTGAGTACTTGGCACTAATGAAGTCTGCAAGTAGTAGACGAAAAATGCGTATCTGTTAAAAGATAAGCAATTATAACGGAATCAAATGGAAATAAATCAACACACTCAAAAAGCTCTCCACGAAAAGATTCCGTTAAAAGGTTCGACAAAATTAGAAGATTTTTTTTTAATTTAACTTTTTCATGATTCGTACGTTGGTTTAGAAAAGTTTAAACGTATATACTATTTTACGAAATGCCAGGAGCCGGGTTGCTTGAAATAATTTGATGTTGCTTCTCACAGCCGTAGAGTACTGCATCCTGTCAAAGTTCATTCATGAGTTGAATCAGAAACGTCTCGTAAATTGCTTTATAGTATGAAAAAAGCTTAGCCAGGTTTCAAAATGCACGGGGCAAACAATATATCATAAAGCCTGCAAATCTTTAAGCTTCTCAAAATTTCAGTATCTGCAACAAAATAGACCCAGAATTTCGAATTTTGAAAAAAATTAGAACATCCAAAATGGCCGAATTTTTGCAAAATGTGAATGATAGTCCATAACAAACAATTATGTAAAGTTTCATGCAAATCGGAAAAGGTCGAGTTTGTCCGATTCCTCATTTGGCGTGGAACTGCTCAAATGCGACGAGGTGTAAATACAACAATTGGGTGGTTTGCAATAATTGGGAAGCAACTTTAAAATCACTGATTTACCAAACAAAGCACAAACAAGCTACAAACTAACAACAACAAAAATCCATACTTACTCCACCATGACTGCGAATCCATCCGGTTTGGCGGTCATATTCATCTCACAATCGGCATTCTTCATGATGAGCTGGTCAACCTCGGTGCCACTTTCGGTGGAGGTCCCCGCTGCCGCAGCGATACAGTGACTGAACACCGTTTCGTTCTGCTGCATCATGCTGCTAGCGGTTATGGCAAACTGTATGGCATTTTGATTGTTCCCGTCGTCCCCTTGGTGCTGCAAATCACCCGAACAGAACAGCTGTGACTGCAACCGGGCCGGTTCCCGGTACGAACAAAATTCACTTGACGATTGAACATCTTCAAACCGACACCCTTCCATTCCACAAGTTCTCGACTGGCGACACCCACTTATCACTTATTTGCGTATTACTGTTGCTTCTAATTTTTTGTTTACTTTACATCACATGCATTCACACTTCATGCGTAACCATAGCCAGTAAATTAAGCTGTATTAATCACATCAGCTTATCTGATTTGCTCAAAATTCACAACACCCAACCGGTTGAACTTAGGAACTTAAAACCGCTCACTACCGTGGCGCAGAAATATATCTTCTGGTGTTTTAAACCACCTGGGTCAACTTAGAAACTTCTGCTCTCCTTGTCTGTACTTCTGCAATCCGTTACTATTAGTTCGCGTGTGCCAGTCCTCATCGTCACTGTGTGACAGCCCTATATTATTCTTGTGGAGAGCGATACAGACGATGCTGCAGTTGTGCTGTTAATTAAGCTTGATTGATCTGTAATAGAAGAGAATTTATCGGGATAAGTTATTTGATGTACGTGCTAGGAATCGTGTGTCTATTCTATTTATTTTCATCGCGGGTATTCTAATTGTTCGGGACTACTGAATATCGGCGTGGAAATTATCGCTACTGCATTGCCGGAGCGCTGCCTTGCGATTTGTAGGGAATAACAAGTCGTCGTTTGTTTGTTGCAGTTTATTGAATGGGTCGGGATTGCCGATTGAACATCCGATCTGTTATTGAATTTGATTGTATTCTCATGTGTACATAGAATTGTGGCAATCCGAATGGTCAAATTTCACGAAATTATACTAGGAAGATCGGTGGAATTCAATTTGAAAGGATATCTAGAAATTAGTAATATCTAAATCAATGCTATTCACTAGACCACAGTTGGCCTAACAGATTTGATGATTTTGATGTTGGTTTCCACGATGGGTAGGTAACCGCCATTTTCATGTTTCAGTGGCAATGACTTTATGAATAGTCGATTTCTAGAACGCAAAAATGCGTTCCGAAACTATTTTCACTTACGATAAGCCCCACCTTCATATATTATCTATGCTGATATATCATTGATAGTGTAGGTGGTACTGAAACTTTCAATCAGCCAGTGATGCAATACTTGATTGACATTGACGATCACCATCTCATAATAAACTATGTCAAAACTATAATAAACCCGGTTCTCATTACTAAATGTATTGAAATTTATCACAGGAAATCGACGCAGCAAAACACAATCATGTCATTTTTGCAGTGTGGCCTACTTCAATCCTTTCTTTCACGTTTTATTCATGATAAAAAAGTAGCTCGAAGAGATAGAGCCCCAAACCAAAAACACATTTTCACTATTTTTATACCTCGTTCACATTACAGCGTATATCACGTGATATATGCTGTCTTGCAATGAGCACTCATACATCTAGTTTTCACTGGAAATCCTCATGGCAAGACAACCTATATTACGTAATATAGGCTGTAATGTGAACGGGGTATTAAAATATCTTCGAAAATGTCAAACAGATTTTTGATGTCTTGTTGGGAAAGACACTAGTATTCCTTTTTCATGCTTCATATGGAATTGGGTCTGGTGCTTTATTCCGAGAATACTGGATTAAACCTTGTCGAATTGATGGCAAGCTAATTGCTGTTTGATTTTTTATCATTATTTATTAATTACTCTATTATTATTGCAATTATTTCAAGCAAAATTTTAGGCTGTAGCTAGTTCTACAAATCTTTTTTACAGTACTTTTTCGAGAATTGTTGATGTAGGAAAGTTTTTAAAATCATCAGGAATATTAGTATCCATCTAATGATAGAAAATATATAAGATCTTGGGAAAACGGAAGGTATAACCACAGACAAACAGACATAACTCTTAGAAATTCACAGAAGCTCAGTCTTTTTTAGGGATTTGGTTTGATTGTGAAGGGTTTTTTTTTTTGGCTGAAAACAAGTTTTTAATCGTGGTAATGCATCAGTTATGAGTGCCCTTTCTACCACCGCTCATCACTTTAATGTGTACAAAGAAAACAATATGTATCAATCAATGCTATTCATGATGTATTAAACACCAGTTACAAAAAGTGTATAAAATATTACACTCATTAAAATGATTTGTTCATAAATTCTGTGTATATCGTACAGCGTAATATTACACAACAAGCGGAATGACCAATCGACTGTTTGGGTGTAATATTCAGCAACTTTTTTCTGAATTTGTCAGATTAGTATGTGCTACAGTGATGACCAGATTTTGTCAACCCCTCCACGCATTAAATAATTTCATAAAATCGTAATTCCAAATCATTCTCATGCATCTTCAAGATGGGTGTTAAAGGTAAACTTTGGTCCTATAAAACCACTGACAAAGCGCATGGGCTTCGTAGAACATTAGAAAAGATTTTTAAAAAAGGGGCTGGGAAAATCGGGTCATTACTGTGTCCACCGGGATGGCTTGGTCCCCTTATCATTATCAAGAGCTGATATCTACTAAATTGACCTTAAAAAGAACTGGCATCACTGATAAGTTCGGAATGAAGTGGCTTGCTTAACACTTCAGTGACGTCATCATGACAAATACAAGCACATTCCGAACTAAAACCGAAGAATGTGATGGTGAGAGTTATGTTTGTTTGTCTGTGGTATATACAACAATACAACAACCGCCCTCTAAATTAAAAATCTCAGTGCGATCGAATATGGGATATACCATTAGGGTTGATGCATATATTATGCCACGCTCTAGGGGCGAGGGAGGTCTAAGATTTTGAGACATAATTAATGCATGGGCCCTTACTTCATCTTCTCGGATAGTCTCAGTTCGATCGAGGCTATTCGGCCGATGAAACAAGGTAGACACTAATCTTTTTTCCTTTCAAAGGTAAGGGAGCAGATGAGTGTGCTGGTCGAAAGATCATTGTATGGGTCCTCTCACATTGCCCAATCCCAGGCAATGAGAAGGCAGACTCTCTCGCAAAGGTGGGCACACAGGAAGGCGAATTTTATGACAGGCAAATTTCACACGATAAATTTTATCATTTACCCAACTAACAATTTTCGCAATGTAAACGCTTTACTCACTTCATTTATACAGCATCAAGCTGTATTCAAATGTTATACGATATGAGGAAACCTTTACTCAACCTCTATACAAGCAAATTTAGCGAACTTAGTCAGCTACTTATGGCTGTTGGGACGGTTGGGACAAGCTCTTATTGCCTATCTATTTACGCGTCTATACAGCAGTTATCCTGCTGTTTAGTTGTATGTGAACTTGAAAGGCGCTTACTCAACCTTTACTCGATTATCCAATAATCTCTACACAGCTTTCTCTTGACGTCAGGTTAAATTATTGCTTTTACCCTTTTTAAGGAATTTATCATGTTAATTGTACTGCGAGAATCAAATTAATCGAAATTAGTTATAAAGCAACACCACCAAATTATTTACAATGCACCGGAACCTGGAATCGAACTCGAGATGACCGCATTGGCCAACCTTGATACAATCAACTTTACTACGCCAACACTTTGAACTGACGTAAATAAATTTGCATGCCCTTCTACAGCAAGATCGCTGAGTAGCGGCTTTATAATAGTGCATATGAATCACTTTTATCGACTAGTTAATTCAGCTTTGTAAAGAAGCAGAGTAAGAACTGTAAAACTGCACAAGTCTAAAAATAAACCTAGTTGACTGTAACATAGCTTCCAAAGTAGCGCTAACACAGTTTATTAGTTGAGTACAGGTTGTTGAAAGGGCACTTTTGATGTTTATGTTATTCAGCAAGAGTGATTGGTTGTGTAGCAGCCATCAAATAAGAAATATATTCACTTTATTAGCTTTGTTTTGAAGCTAAAAGTTGAAAGTTGATTAATATTTGTATAGAAGTGATATTAGTGTTTATTGGCTGATGTTATTCAGTGCGGGTGACAAATTGAATAATGGTTGTGGAACGCTCTCCAAAACTATTTTGCTAGCTTCTGCTTGTAGCTGTATCTGCAGCTTCATTTCAGCTACTTTTCAGCACAACGCTGGAAAAGTTGGTTTATAAAGCTGAAAATGTTAGTTGGGTAGTGCGTCAGAGTGCGATTGGGACAATGGAAATCTTGGACGGAGGTTACATTCAATTATTCCTAATGTTTCTTCGAGAGCAGTGTTGGATAGTAATTTTTTGCGAACTTTTCCATCACTGTTCGAGAGCGTGGTTTAAAGGCTTGGACATAAGTCGTGATGAGCAGACTTATGTCCAACCACTACTCGCTAGATGCTCAATAGAATAAACCTCGTGGACAACAACATCTGTCGGTGTAGAAACGGTTACGATGACATCGATTACGCAGTTTGGCAATGTACGGATAATGACGCCGCCAGAGAGCGACTTTTAAATACCCTCGAGGCCCAAGGAAGACAACCGTATATCCCTTTAAGAGACGTGTTGGGTACCCGCGATCTCTGCTATATGCAGTCAATTTATGACATTCTGCAAATGTCCAGTATACGAATTTAATTCATTTGTCTTTTGTATTTCTTGATTAGTTTTCGTTTGTCTTGTCCCCCGTCTCGATGAGTCTCATTGTCGCCCACTGGTCACCATAGCCGGTCGAGCTCCAGACGAAACTAGAACCGCACTACCGTTCATACTGGCGACAACGCTCTGATGAGACAACGAAACCTTACCCCCAAGATCCTCCCCTGATCCTATCCTTCGACAATGTACCTCTTTAACCTCGAGTAAGCCGCGAGCATTCGGCCCAACTCCTACTAGACATAGAATTAAGTGAATTTTGTTACAAATTAAGAACAATGAACTATCGGCTCCGTAAAGCTAACGCGATTGAGCCTTCCAAATAAACGAACTAGTTAAAAAAATAATATGCGATACCTCTGATCTATACAATCTCCGGAGATTACAAGATCTCCTATTTTACAAGTGTAGCTCTGCATATTTTGCAAAGTGTTGAACCCATCAACCGTCAATCCAATGCTGATCTGCTTAGAACATTCATGTCCTGATCGTGATAAAGTAGACTGGGAGTCTCCTTCTAACTGCAACGGCGATTCACGCGGCAAAATCACAGATAGTTTGTTGCAGCACGACTGCTTCATCCAATTTATACACAAAATTGAGAGTTGTCAGACATTTTAAATTCATCCTTGGTTTTCTTTAAGTCCGTTAAAATAATATTTGCAATCAACTAAGCTCATTTATGCTGCTGAACAACACGCGCGCACTGTTTCCGTGTGACAAATCGCCGAAAGCCAAAACGCTAGAAATCTGACAAGGGTAAAAAATACTCGCATCCGTTTACAACGTTTACAAGCACCGCACACTTTGATCTGGCGTCGTCTGTGCAAATCCAAGGACGCTCAGTTGTTTACTACATTCTGAATGAATCCAATTTCTCTTCAATAAATTTGCAAAAAAAAGCTCTGCCTGCTTGGCTTCAGGTCAATTTTAGTGCTCTAAAATCCAAATTAAACAT